GTGGCTGGTTGGCCACCATGCTGTGGCTCTGGAAGGCCTGCCTTTGTGGGAGGTTAGGCTAGGTGGTCTCTACGGCCACTTTTCTATTCTCCCTTGCTCCTGATTGCAAGACTAGATCTGATGACAAGGGAGTGGATAATGACAAGGGGTGGAAATGACAAGAGAGTCGATACCGGCTAAGCATCAGGATAAACTTCCTAACTGTAAGGGTGGTGGAACAGTGGAACGGACTGCCTCAGGAGGTGGTGGATGCTCCTTCGCTGGACGTTTTCAAGCAAAGGCTGGACGGCCATCTTTCGGGTATGTTGCAGGGCTCTCTTTCGGCTGTGCTCCTGCAGGGTGCAGGGGGTTGGACTAGATGACCTGCAGGGTCCCTTCCAACTCTCACATTCTATGATTCTGTGATTCTATGATTCTCACTTTCCAATGTTCTCTTGCCTAAGGCAGAGCTTCGGTCCTCGGGGCCCTTTGCCAGCGCCACTGCAATGGATGGAGAAATGTGCAGTGGGGAGACCTACACAGGAGTACACTGGAGCACCTCGAGAAGATGCGCCTTCCAGGTGGGGTCCAAACCCTGCTTCTCTCCAAGGGAAGCCTTGGTGCAGATTTGGGGGTCCAGCTGAGCCCTTCCTCCCGCCTGGCGCCCTCCCCTGCCGCCCCCCTCCCTAGGAAGGGCTCCTCTGCCTCCTCGACATTTTCTTTTGCCAGCAGGGAAGGGAAGGGAAGGGAAGGGAGGGGGGAGTGTCGACAATGGCTCTGCTTTCCTCCGCAGGAGTGATAAGGCAGAAGCGCTTCCGGCTGGCTCCCTCCCTCAAAGCCTGATTGCATTTGGGTTTCAATGAGCCAGCCGGAGGGATGCCGACTCCATGGCAATCGATTCCCCTAAAGCTCCTTTATCTCAGGCAACCTCACCAAATGCCTCCCCCTCTAATGAACGGGGATTTATTAATTAGATGCAATAACTGTCAGCTCTCATCTGGCTGAAGAGTGTGGCTAAGCTCGTCCCTGCCACCGACATTCCCCCTAAAGGGCCCGGGCTGAGCAAATGTTTAGAGTCAGGGCCAAACAAACACCGAGTGACGTGTGGTAAAGCCATGCTCGGATCTTCCAGCACTTTCTTGAAGGCAAGATTCGATCCCAGTGACAGGGGCCAACAAGATTTCCAGGGTGGAAGGTTTCAAGAGCCTCTCGAAAGCTCATTCCCCCAAACTCTTGTGGGTCTCTAAGGCGTGCTACGGGACTCGAATCCGGCTCTTCTGCTAGAATCCCGACAGGGCTATTCCCCTGAAACTTCCTTAGGACTAAAGAGCCGTAGCGAAGCAGGATTGGGGTTGAAATGCTGGACATCCCTCTTTCGCCTACGCGGTTTGCTCAACAGACTCCCTCCTCCCAGCCAGTGTTCCCTCTAAGCTGACTTAGTGTGAGCCAGCTCGCAGTTGTTTAGCCTCCAGCTCACACATTCTTGTCTCCGCTCAGGAAGGATGGGGCTCCAGAGCAGACTAATTTATGCAGTAGCCAAATCGCTCGCTCACAGCTCTAATGCCAGTAGCTCACAAAGGAGAATTTCTGCTCACAAGACTCCACCACTTAGAGGGAGCCTTGTTCCCAGCTGCTGCTAACTGTGGTGGGGAAAAGCCAGGCACCCCCCCACCCCCCAAATGGATTCTAAATCTGAAAACCCGGACCTTCGGTGCTGCCTCCCTCCCTCCCGTGGAGTAGTGTGGGGACAGCCACCTTCTCCCTGGGGGAACCTGCCAGGAGCAGCTCAAGGGGGAAAAGGGTTTGTTTGGCCACACAGACAACAGACTGCTGGGACAGAAGCCAGAAATGGGCCCGGTCACCTTGGCTGCTGGGAAGGGAAATTGTGGGGAGAATGGCTTGGAGTGCTCCGCTGTTAGGGGGATGTGTGTGTGTGTGGGGGGCACACAGGGAGTGGGCAACACCCCCCTTTCAGCCCTTAATCCATGT